GCACTAATGGGGGTCGGCGGAAAAAGCGAGAGCGGACGCAAGCGAGTCGACAAGGCAACCGCGCAATGTTTGCGACCGCGTCATCACGGCGCTGCTGCAACGGAGAAATGAGCTCGTGCTCTTGCCAGGCTCAACGGGGCGCGTGCCGAGGAAGAGCCGAGCGGAAGTTGCGCTCGATGTTTTCAGGAGAGGAACGGATTTCAGGGTGGAAGCAGGAGGTAGAGGTAGGAGGAAGAGGTGGTCGGAGGAGGCGTCGTTTCCACGGCTACCCCACCTCCTCCACCTCCTCCAGGGCGGACAGAACGCAAACGCAACGACGGCGACGACGAGCAAGCGACGAGGCGTTTTTTTTCAACGCGGTGGCCGCGGGGACGGCTCGGTTGGAATGCCGCTCTTTGCGTGGGAGCAGGAAGCGGCCAGCGCAGAGATGCGAATAATGCAGGCAAGGGGCGCGACGCGGGAGAACCTCTCGCCCCGCGCCCACTAGACTTGGCCAGCGAATATGAAGAGAGACGGCGCGGACTGCGACGCTGCAGAAGCCGCGGTGGTCGCGCGCTGGCCGGACGGGCGGCGGCGGCGGAGCGACGGGGCGGCGCGGGAGAAGCCCTTGCTGCATCGTCACTCCGCGCGCGTCGAAAAACATGGGACACCGATTCGCGTCGGCAAGCCGTCGGAGACCCAACTGGGGCTCACTCTGACGCTTTACTGACGCAGATCGGTGCCCCAATTTGGCGCGGTCTTGCAGACGCAGAAGTTCGGGGGGGCACCGAATTGCGTCAGTAAACCGCCAGATGCCAAACGGTTTACTGACGCAAATCGGCGCCTCAATTTGGCGCTTTGCACGCGCGTCATTCCGGGGCGCCGACTTGCGTCAATAAGTTGCCCCGGACACACTGGAATGGGAAACCGACTTGCGTCGGTAAGCCGTCGGAGACCCAACTGGGGCTCAACTCCTCACCCTCCGCCTCCTCCTCCTTGACCCGCTTTCAGTTCAACCACCTCCTGCCGACGCCGCGGCGGTTGAAGCCTTCCCCCCCGCTCGCTCCTCTTCCTCCTCCTCCTTCTCCTTTTCCTCCCTCTCCTCCTCCTCCCCATCATCAGCCATCTACTCCAGCCACCCCCCCCCCTCCTCCTCCTCCTCCTCCTCCGCCTCTCCTCCTCCCCCTCCTCCTCCTCCTCCTCTCCTCCTCCACTTCCTCATCCTCCTCCTCATACGACATCTGCGCCTCCTCCACCCCCGCCTCCCCCGGTACCTCCTCCTCTCCGCCCTCCAACGCCTCCTCCATCTTTCTGCGACACTCCATTTCCGATGCGGGCCTCCTGAGACCACAACACAAAAAACATAATTAAAACATACCCCCCCAGGCCGCGGGTTGAAATCCCCGCCCCCCCCCTTCTCCCTCCCCCCCCGCCCCCCCCCGCCTCCACCCCAACCCCTTTCATTTCAACCACCACCATACCCGACACGCCCAGCGTTGAAACTTCCTCCCCGCCGCTCCTCTCCCCCCCCCCCTTCGCCCCCCTCTCGTTCCGCCTCCTTGTCCTCGACGCCGTCCTCGCTCGGCCGGCCCACTCACCATCCGCGCCTCGCGTTCCTCCTCCTCCTCTCTCCTCACTCCCCATCCTCCTCCCCCCCCCTCCTCCCCCTCCCCCCCACCCCCCCCCCCCTCCCTCCCTCCCCCTCCCCTCCCTTCCTCCCTCCCCCTCCTCCGCGCCCCCCGCCCTGAGCAGCGTCCGCATCCTCCGCCGTGAGCAGGTGGGGCCCCATAGGCTAATAGGGGCCACTGGGGGGGCCCTTCCGCGCGAGCCGACTCGCATGGCCGCGTGAAACGGCCCTGAAAGTCACTCCGTTCGAGCGGGCTCGCTGCGCCGATGGCCGCTGGTATTCCAACTCTTAGGCGGGGGCCCCTCGGGGCCACAGGGGGGGGCCCTTCCGCGCGAGCGGGTTCCCATGGAATGCCCCTGAGGGCCATTCCGTGCGAGCAGGCTCGCCGACGCCGATAGCTAGGCCGGGGCCCCCTAGGGGCCACGAGGGGGGCCTCATCCGCGCGAGTGGGCTCGCGTGGAATGCCCGAGTATGATGATCATGATGTGTGTGTGTGTGTGTGCGCGCGCGCGGCGCGAGCGCGCGTGTGTGTGTGTGTGTGTTGTGTGTGTGTGTGTGTGTGTGTGTGTGTGTGTGTGTGTGTGTGTGTGTGTGTGTGTGTGTGTGTGTGTGTGAGTGCGTGTGTGTGTGTTGTGTGTGTGCGTGTGTGTGTGCGTGTATGTGTGTGTGTGTGTGCGTGCGTGCGTGCGTGCGTGCGTGCGTGCGTGCGTGCGCGCGTGCGTGTGTGCGTGTGTGCGTGTGTGTGTATGTGCGTGTGCGTGCGTGTGTGTGCGTGTGCATGTGACATGTGCGCGCGCACGCACGTGCGCGCGCGCGACTGGGCGCGGGCGCGGCCCGCGGCCGTCCAGAGAAAACAAAAGGCCCTTTTAGGATGTGGGGAACAAAACGAGTGCCGTGAAACTCCCCCTCTAGAGAGCACGTCGGGGGCGCGCGGCGGCCATTGGGCCATGGGGCCCGCCAAGACCGCGGCATCGCGCGCGGCGCGGGCATGCCCGCGAAGACCGCGACATGAAGCACGACGGTGACTCTGGGGCCTGCGGGGCAACTCTGGGGATACGCTGGCCGAACCCCTGGAGAGCTTCAATTTGTTCGAGCACCTGGTGGGGGGGGGGCTGGCGGCGCCTCTCAGAAGTTCCCCGATGGGCTAATCGGTTTCTGAGGGCCCCCCCCCCCCATCCCTCCCCCGCCCTGGAACAGCCAAAAAAACAAGAAGCCCATCCTGCGGCGAGGAGTCCCAAATCATGAGCTCTCTCGCACTCTCTCCCTCTCTATAGATTTCCCTCTTCGACTCTGCAACCTACTGAACCCTGGCAAACGCTGGGCCCCGCGGACAAACGCGCGACCATCCTGCGGATCGCGGCGGCCTGGCGGGATAGGCCGAAGGCCTGGATGCACGTGGAACCCGTCAACCCCACCCCTAGTAAACATGTCGATTTTGGAGCTTCCACCTTTTCGGTTCCCGACGCCCCAAGACTCTTCCCAAGACGGCCCCAGAGGCCCCCAAGATCGCCCCAAGAGGGCCCAAGAGGCCCCCAAGAGGGCCCCAAGATGGCCCAAGAGGGCTCGAAGACGGCCCAAGAAGCCTCCAAGACGGTCCAAGAGGGCCCCAAGAACACCCCCAGAGGGGCCCCAGAGAGGGAACACGAAACAAAATTTCGAGCCCTCGGCCCTAAGAAGCCCCTACGAGGCCCCAAGAGGCCCCTAAGAGGCCCCAAAAGGCCCCCACGAGGCCCTCAGGAGGCCCCCAAGAGTCCCCCAAGCGGCCCCAGGAGGCCCCCCAAATGCACCCCCGAGCGCCCCAGGAGTCCCCCAAGCGGCTCCAGGAACCCCAAAAGTGCCGCATTGACACCAGGCCCTCGGGCAAACGGCAGACATGAGACCGTGTGGGCCGGCGGAATGAGCGAAGCGATTAATGTCTTGGAGCTGGCGCCTGTGCTATCCCCCCGGGCGCCGCCCTCCTGTTTTGTCACAACAACGCCAAGGCCGCAGCGTCGAGCTCGGCCTCGTCTCGAATCGGGATCTCGGCCCGAGGGATGCCCTTTACGCGCTGTGATCGGGCGTCGTCGCCAGCCAGGCCGACGCCCATGAGGAGCCACTGCTTGGCGAGGCAACGCGTCGCCACGACGGACATGCCAGCGAAAGTAAAGTTCCGCTTGCAGCGCAAGTCCTTGCCCGCGTCAAGGTGGCAATTGCAGTTGCCGCCGAAGCCGACGTGGACGCCCTCGCTCCAGACCTCGCTGACCGTCCACGGACCGAAAGGGACCTTCCTGACTTCTTTCTCGGCCGGCTGGGGCCTCTTAATGCCAGCGACGGGGGGCCCGTCGGCGCCCGAGCTGCTATCTCCGTCGTTGGGAGGAGACAAGCTGCCAGAGCTGCCACCAGAACCGAAGTCGTTCCAGAGCTCATCATCTGAGCCATGCCCCTCTGGCTTCGGCCGCCTGATCCTGATCTTGTCGCCGTCTCCGCCAAGCGCCCTGATGCCTCTTCTCATGTCGGCCATGGCGTCGCCATCGGCCTTGCGGGCCTTCTTGCCCCGTGCCTGGCGGAGACGGCCCCGGGGGGGAAAGACAGGCTGCTCGCTGTTGAACAAGCGGGACCTCCAGTCGTCGACCAAGAAAACAGCCGCCGCAGAGTCGGCGAGCATCTCCTGGTCGATGGCAGCGGCAGACAGAAATATGTTGGTGATCTCAACGTCCTCATCGTGGCCGAGATACCTGCCTAGGAAGGAAACGTCAACAAGATACTCTAACTCCACGCCGTCCCAAAAGCCAAGCTGGACGCGGCGGCGATCGACGTCCATCAGCGCCGGGCATAGTATAGCCACCGCGGGGTTGCTAAGCCGAACGCAGGCAACACAGAACCACGCCGCCGTGTCAACCTGCGGGCCAACGAACCTCAAACAGAAGAAATGACCAGTCGAATCTTTCGTGAGCTGCTGCCGCAATCCCCTCGCCGCCTCCAGCAACAGCGGCAATCTGCCAGCGTCTTTCGATGCGCACAGCTCTGGATGCGCACGCGCGCATGGAACGTAATAGTCGAAAATTTCGTCGTCGGCGATGTCCCCAGAGTCGGACACGAACATGTCCCGAGCGATCATCTCTCGGGCAGTCGATTCGTACCTCGTGAACCCAGGGGCAGCTGCGGTCTCCTCTGTGATATCCGCAACTGGGGCAGCTAGCATGAATCCGAGCCGCGGTGAGTTCCATATACTATAGACCATATTATATGGAACCCACCGCGGCGCGGATTCATGCTAGCTTTCGGTCACCCGCTGCAGAAGGGGCAGCTCTACGGTCCAGGCCAGTAGTGCGAGGCGCGATTACTGTCGCGCCGCCCTGGGAAGCCGTGCCACAACCCCCGCCGAGTGGTCTGGGGGGGTGGGGGAGTGGACGGCAATGGGCGCGGCGAGGCCGAGGGCGAAAACAACGGGAAGGAGATGAGGGGTGGAGGAGGAGGAGGAGGAGGAGGAGAAGGAGAGGGAGAGGGAGGAGGAGGACGGGCATGAGGAGGAGGAGGAGGAGGAGGAGGGGGAGGAGGACGAGGACGAGGAGGAGGAGGAGGAGGGGGTGGCTGTGGCGGCGGGGGGAGGGAGGCACGATAACACACATAACGCGACGCTTAACTCGAAGACCAGAGCGGGCGGGGAGTGCAACTTGGAGTTGGTTACTGAGCCTCCTCCTCCTCCCCCTCCTCCCCTCCTCTTCCTGTTCCTGCTGCTCCTCTTGTCCCTCCTGCTCCCGCTCCTCCTCCTACTCCTGCTCCCCCTCCTCCCCCCCCTCGCACCCCTCCTCCTCGCCCTCCCCGTCGGGCCCCATGGGGGCCCCGCCCTGCATCAAAACGGCGCGAAACCATGGGGCCATGGGCCCCCTGCGAGATTTCAACGCCCGCGCTGCCCAAGAACAGCCACGGCAACACACGAACATCCCGAAAGACCTGGGGCGGGGCTGCGATGGCCCCGAGAGCACGAGGCCCCGACCCGAGGAGGAGACAGCGGAGCAAACGACCTGGGAACCGAGGGCAAAGGCTAACCCAACAGGAGTGGGTGGGCACTGGGGCGGGATCTTTCGCAGCCCGAAGTCCCGGCGGCCAAGTCCTCCCAGAAGCCGCTCGACCTCTGCCTCGAACTCTTCTGGGGCAAAGGGCGTCCGAGTATTCCCGCGCGCCTCCAAGATCGTCTGCAACACGCCGCGGGAGCCAAGGGGGAGACCGTCCACGGGGAGCTCATCGTCGGCCTCGAGGCGCTTGAGGGCGCACTCGTGGTCGGCCTCCGCCTTCTCGGCGTCGATCTCCTGCTGGGTCAGCTCGTGGAACTCAGTGACCTTGGTCCGTCTCCACGCCGCGTACTCGTCTTTGTTCATCGGGGGGCCGCTCTGCTTTCTCACCCTCTCCTGCTTTGACAACCAATGAACGAAGACACCTGATACCTGGCCTTTCCGCTGGCGAGGCTGAGCAATGACTGGGGCACCGTCTTCAATCAATTGAGCCCGCGTGGGGCATCTAGGGTCGTCGCCCCCGTTCTTGCGATGCTGGGATAAGAGCTGCGCCAGAAACCCCGTGCAACAGAAACGCTCAATGTCTACGCCCTTCTCGCGATTGGTTGCGTTCCTGCACAAGGCCAGCAACCGCTCGCACCGCATATTACAGAATTTGAAGACCACGGCGAGGCTAATCAACATCCGCCTGAAATCACTATCTCTGAACATGGCATCGGCGGACGGGAACGCCCGTCGGACTTTGGCTGCGAAGAACGGCTCCAGGCAGCACGGCTCCAACTCGAAGAAAGCATCTGCGTGCCGCCGACGCTGAGCTTCAGAGAGGCCAGGGTGGACCATCCCAACCAGCTTGAGCGGGTAGCCCTCAAGCGGGAGATATCGCCACTTCACTTGCGAAGCCATGTCCAATCCAATACCGCGCATCTCCGACCACAAGAAGTTGTGCTTGCCGACGTCATAGTAATCAAATATGTGACCTATATCCGCGCCTCTGCCCGCAACCAACTCACTGGAAATTCGAGAACGGCACACGTAAAACGGATTAAGAAAGGACGTATCGTTCACGGTGCCGTACAGCCCTTTCGAATGTGCGTCTCGATGTTGCAACTCTGCCATGAGCCTCTCGACGTGGACGCCGTAGAAACACACGATGAGCATTCGAGCGAGCTTCTCGTCATCCTTCAGGAAATACTTGCTCCGCCATGCTTTCTTTTGTCCTATGCGCCTGGTCCTCTCGCCAGCGTTCTCTGCCCGTGCCGGCCGCCGCATGCCCAACGATGGGTTGGGCAATGCGAGGTCGATGACGCGACCGAGGACTCTGTGGCACAACGCCCCGAGGCCGACCTTGCCGCAGACCTCACCACATGTGAACCAATCGTCCAAGCTAGGGGTCCCAGTGTCTTTCGACATCAGCAGATCAATCTCGATGGCCGCCCCGAATAACTGATCGCATGCGTCGTCGAGGCCCCCGCAGCAGTCTGGCCCGCTGCAGTAGTGAGATACCTTGGGCAACGTCCAATCCCCGTTCCATTTCAGAAGGAATTTTGCGGCGGCAGAGTCGGAGCCGAGGTCCATTGGGGTTGATAAGTCCAGTATGTCTGCGGTCACCATCGTGCGTCTCCTGAGATAAGTCCTGGAAAACAAGCTATCGTTCCGCGCCTGCCACCGCGGCACTGGCACTTGAATCTGAAAACCGCCCGACGCCAGGTCCTCACGGATGATCTGCTTCAAAGCCTGCTGAAACTTGTTTTGCCAGTGCGGTTGCGAGCAAGTAACGTGCACAGCGTGAACGTTTCCAATCACTTCCCGCTCACGATTCTCGATCACCCTGTGCCCCTGGTGCGCCGAACATTTCCAATCCACGGCAAAAGTGTTGGCTGGCAGGCCAGAGAAGTACTTCTGCTTCCTACGACGGTTTGCCGAATGATCATCCGGCGCCTGGGGTAGGCAGGAAAGAACGGGCATGGCGGGGCGGCCGCGGCAGGGCAGGGTAACTCTGGCAACGCAGAACGATGGGCCACCGAAGGTGCGGCTGCATAGAACACCAACTAACCTTACATATCCAGCATATTAAGCACAGCCCCACAAGAGGCCATCCAGAAGAAGTCAGGCGGCGGACCGAAGGCGGCATCGGGATTCGAGGCAAGGCGATGGGAGGTGAAAGAGTTGCAGCAGCAGCAGCAACAGCACCAGGGGGGCGAGGGGAAGGAGAAGGGAAGGAAGAGCACGAAGGGGAGGATGATAAACAATGGGACAATGGGGCGATAGAGGAAGAAGAAGGGAAGACGAAAGGATGAACCGCGCACCTCAGACGACTGCGGGATGATACCATCGACCTGGGGTCCTCTTGGACTCCACTCGATCGAGGCCCCCCCAGAAACGCTTTGCCCAACTCCCCGAGGCCTGCTAAGACCGCCCCCCCGCCGACGTTTCGGGCCTTATCTAAGCCCATTGAGATCGCGAGGCCTCGCGGGCCAATCCCAGCCCGTTGAACCCGCCGGGGCATCGCGGCTTCTCCGAGAGCCGAAGGGCCCACAAGATAAGCCCATGCGCCATGGGGGCAAGGGAGGCTACGCGAAGATCCACGAGGTTCCGACTGAAACTCTCAGCTCCAGTTGGGCTTAATACTTCAAGATGAATCCTGAGGCGCCCTAAGGTGCCAACAAATGAACCTCGACCCGCCGGCGCCGCAACACCTCCCGCGACAAGTCAGCCAAGGGGCGACACCGACAGCGACGCACCTGGTGACGCTTCCCACGGGTTAACCCCCTTTCCGTTGGCCATGTATGAGGACGCCGCAGAATCGGCCGAAACCAGCGTCGCGCACCAGAGGGGGTATAAGAGCGAAGGGGGGACAAAGGCACGGAATAAGAAGTCGAGGTGGAGAGAACAGAATGGCGTTGAGCCTAAGTGGACACTGCGACGTGGCTGTAGAGAGCGAATGAGTCGACGACAATCAGCGAATAGGGGACCCGCGAATAGGGGACCCGCTTGGCAACCTCCGCGATCCCGTCGCGGGAGAGCTCGGGCACCGCGCTCTCGGTTGCCCTCAGGAGGACGCTGCTGCCATTCGACTGCAAGGCTCTGGGCATCGAAAACGCCCTGAAACCGTCGATCTCCATGGAAGGGCGAATGTAATGGCACGTAACACCATGGGCGAACACCTCCAACGTTCCAAATCTCGGGATGGGTTTCGACGGGTTCAAACGCCTGTACTCACCATAACGGACCAGCTTCCATCTTCCAACATTGTCTGGGTCAGGGACAGAATACAAAGCGTGGGGCATCACGGCGTCCTGGGCCCGTCCGAATCCCAATCGCACAGGCGTTGTGTCGTAGAAAGAACAGAACACGGGGCACCCCTCTATCCTGGCGAGCTCGTCCGACACGAACCTACTCTGGCGAGACTTAATCACGGAAGCCGAAACGCTGAGCATGCTGAGTTCCCGATGTGTCCCATCTATCCCAGCCCTGCACGTGGAAGATTTCCCTATCTGTCTCCATGAGTTTAGCAAGACAACCATCGGGTCATATTGGTTCGGGTGCCGAGGGGTGGGGTCGTTCAGCGCGTCTGTCATCTTATCGCCGTGCCGAATCCTCTCATTGTTCCAATGCCTGGCAATCACGCGACGCCCCGCCCCCTCCGTGACCAGTGGAGGGCCCTGGCGTCACGGACAACAGCAATGCACACAACTCAACAGCAATGCAAAACAACGCGAATCAACGCAACAGCAAAAACGCCATTCGAACCCAATGCGGCAATGCAATGCTGCATTGCAATGCCACCTGCGAAGACAAGTCTTGGCCTTGAGAACGGGTTTTTGTTTTCCCTAGGCCTGCGCTTGGAAAGCCCGCTTCGGGTAGATTGCACGGCGGTTCGCTAGGGCAGCGCTAGAGGTATTTCGCACGACGGTCCACATGCACCAGTCGCCATAGAAACACATCGGAATCGCAAAAACCAGTTCTCAAGGCCAGCCTTTTTCGCTTCTCTAAACTTGTATAAATATGTATATTAATAGCATGTGTTACTGTATGCGCAATTCATGCATTCATGTTTTCTTTCCTCCGAAGGACTTTGAAGGCTTTGGGATTTCATGAATTGAGTGTTTTTTTTTGTTTTGGTTTCTTGTAGGGCTTCATGGGTGGAGGCCGATAACTGGTTCATCGGGGCCGTTCAAGCAATGCAACGCAATGCACAACTTCAAACGAAATGGACCTTTCATGCTCTCTCGCCGCCCTCGTCATCCTCATGCCCCTCCCACCCTCGGCCGCGCCGCGCCCTCCCCTCCCCCTTCTTCTTCTCCTGATCGTCGTCGTTCTTCTCATCCCGCCACCTCCTCCTCCTCACCCCCGTCTTCCACCCTGTCCACGCTTGCGCCCTGCCGTCCTTCCCCCCACCCTCTCCTGCCTCCCCCCCATCCGGGGGGTCTCCAAGGCGGGCGTGGCGCAGCCAACTGAATCGTCGACGGCCTCATCCCGCTCTCGCTCTGCCTTCCGAGTCCGTTTGCATTGGTTGAGGTGGTCAGCCCATGCTCGAGATCTCCTGAGATCCCCGCCCCAGGGCCCCGGCGCAGCCGCGGCCCGCCTAGCCGCTGCTGGCGCCACCACGCCAGCGGCGGCGCCCAGCCCGCGGCGCAGCTCGTCCAGCCGCGACGGCCGCGCGGCCGCCGCTGGGGCCGCCGGCGACAGCGGGGCCACGGCCGCCAAACCTCGGCGGATCTCCTCGATCCGCGGCGGCTCTCGCCCCCCCTCCGCGCTCATGGCGCGCGGCCTCGGCCATTGCGCCACCCCGCGCGGCCGCGACACGCACGGTGCCAGAGACGGCGGCGAGCGCGAGGGGACGGCCGTCGCCGACGACGACGATGACGAGAGGGACGCAGGCTGCATCGGGCATCATCGTCTCTTCTCCCAGGGATCCCTGGGGGAAGAGACGATGAAGAATGCGCCGTGCATCGCGCGGCATCGCCGATGCATCGTCCATGCCGCGCGGTGTGTCCTTGTCGATGCCGCCGATGCATCTCCGACGCAGGCGCGACCTTCCGACCCTGTCTACTAGGACGGGAGGCATCCAGGAACACGGACCCCATACATAATCCTGGGGTTTTATCCTCAGGACGGTCATGGCGAGGTTTTTTTTGGTCTGCGTGGGGCCCCACTGCGCGTGCCCCCCCAGCAGCCCTCGAAAGTGGCAACAGTTTCACACTTCACAGCCCCCCATGGATGGCGAGGTCTCGTTTGGGTCTGCGTGTGGCCCCAGTGTGCGGCCTCCTCTTGACCCTCCTCCTCCTCCTCCTCCTCCTCCTCCTCCTCCTCCTCTTCCTCCTCCTTCTCTTCCGTTTCCTACGCCCTGTCTTCCTCTTCCTCTAGCAGCCGCGGCAAAATCGCGGATCCTCACCGCGCGCGTTGCGTTACGTGAGATACTCTCCGCGACCACACCAAGATTCCATTGACATCCCCCCGTCTGTCCACCCCGTCCAACCCCGCCAATCCGTCTAGATTGCTCAAGCGCTATATATATACACATATTCAATGCACTATTTTACAATATTCTATAATATTTGATTATCATCAATATTCATATTCTTAATATTTCAATAAATTGCTACTTATCTCAACTGTATGATTGTATATATTCATATTACCTCTTGAGTAGTTCTGAAATGTCGTATGTTTTTTTGATTTTTCTTGTTATATTTTTTCCAGCGTTCATGGTTTTGATGGAATCCTGGCGGGGCCGGGCTTTCCAAGTCATTGGCCGTCTTGGCTGCGTGGAGGCCCGACTTGAGGCCACCTGCGGCCAGATTGAGGCAATCCGGAAGCCTCCCGGGGGCTTCCTGGAAGCAGTTTTGACGCATCGAGGGCACTCTTGGGCTATTTGACAGCCTCTTGGACGTCTCCTAGGGGCCTTCTAGGCCCTCGGGAAGCTGTTGGGGTCCTCGTCGGACCACTTGGGGGCCTCTTGCAGCCTCCTGTGGGCCTTGTGGGGGGACCGCTCTGCTGTTGGGTCGCGTTCCCGTTCTTTGGCCTCTCTTGGGGCTCTTGGGGCCCGCTCGGGCCGTCTTGGGCGCCTCAAGCACCGTCTTGGGGCCCTCGCGGGCCGTCTTGGGGCCCTCTTGGAGGCCTCTTCCTCTATATGGGAGCGGTATTGGAAGCCTCTTGGGCCGTCTTGGAGCATCGGGATGCCAAAAGGCCGAAAAAAATTAAAACCCGTCAAAGCCCAATCGTAAAACAATGTGCCTCTTGGGGCCACCTTGGGAGATCTCTTGGAACCTCGTCGGCCCTCTCGGGAGCTTCTTGGGGGCCTCTTGGATCCGATTGGGGGCCTCTTGGGACTTCCCGAGAACCTCTCGGGGTAGAAAGCTCGGATTCTCGGTTCGTGTTTCCCTTCTTGGGCCTCTCTTGGGGCCGTCTTGGGGCCCTCTCGGGACGTCTTGGGCGCCTCAGGCACCGCCTTGGGGCCCTCGTGGGCCGCCCAGGGCCCTCTTGGAAGCCTCTTCGGCTATCTTGGAGCTGTCTGGGAGGCCTCTTCCTCCTCCTCGTCCCCCTCCTCCTCCTCCTCCCACTCCAGCTCTCTCTCCTCCTGATCTTCCTCTCCTCCTCCTGCAGCGTGTTCCGGAAGGGATCCGCTTTGGAACATGCTGTGCACAAGTGCTGTCACTACGGCTGCCGCCACCGTGGGGGACTCGGAAATCCCCGACGAGATCGTCAAAAATGACGAGGCCGAGCCTGCATTTTGACGAGGCCTCCGCTGCAGACATCCCCGAAACTCCTCCTCGTCAAAATCCGAGGCGCGGTCGTCAAAAAACGATGGCGAACTGAGTCCTGGCAAACCCGGGTCTTACGCTCCCCCGCTCAGAGGCCTCATGGGTGTGGCGGATCCGTGGTTGGCCTGTCGTGGACGT